GATTATTGGTAAGATTAAATGGTCAGTTAGCAGCAGAAGCAGTAGTGACTGCCTGATCTTCTGTTCTTTGTGCAGCTCCTTTTGGGCCACTGCTAGATATTCCTTCCTGAATGAAAGACTCCTAATTAGCCTTGGCTCCAGAACCCTCCGGCAGATTAAGTGAAGGTTTGCGAGGAACCTTTTTTCTCCCTCAAATGTATTGAGCCCCTTTATTTGGCAGGAACTGTGCTAGGTACTGAATGAAGTGAACGAGTTGCAGCCATTATCCTTAAGAACTCTTACTTTCCTTTGTATCTTAATTCTTATCTGGTATTTACAAATCTTCCCTCAAAAGGTGGGCTTGGTAGAGGTGGAGGTCCCAGCACGTTATTGGCAGCACGGGCCTGGCAGAGTTGAAGCAGTGGCCTGGAGAAAACGCATATGACATATGATCAGAGGACCTGCCTTTGAATCCCCGGCCTGATGTTCTAGTTTGGCCAAATCACTTCACCTTTCTCAGTTGATTTCTTCTTCTCTGTGAGAGGGATGTCTCAGGAAGAGAAATATGCTATTTTAAAATCTGGTTGCTCTTTTCAGTGAAAGCTAAGGACAGCCGAATTATAGTCCTTTTTCGTTTGTCAGGATCAAGGGCTAATCTACATAGGAGTGGTACTCCTGTAGAACTCCTGTAGAACTGGTCTACATAATGAAGAAACAAGAATTTTTAGTTTTTACTTGAAGCTGGAGGGAAAATATTTTGTTTTTATTTTGATTTTGTTTGGGCAAGGGTGGTGAGAGAAAGTGGGTCCTAGCATTAGGCTAGAGATGACAAATTGTTACTCTGGTGGCACAGAAGGAAGGGGCAGAGAGCTTTGATGTCTGATTCTCGGTTTTAAATAGTTTCCTATTCATTGTTAGAATTTTTCTCCAGTAAAGATCTGCTCTTCACAACACGCAGATGTTAATGTGTTTTGGAGACAGAGAGGGCTGTGGGTACACTGAGTGAAGTGAAATAGAGAGAGGGGAGGTAATGAGAACTGGGTTGCAGTCAGAATTTAGGATCAAAAACTGAAAAGAAATCATTAGAAAGTTGTAAGCACTCTCCTTAGGATCCTTGAAATTATTCAGGACTCTCCGTAATTCCTACAGTTATGTGAGATATGGTCTAAAATTTGCAATGTTAAAGGAAAGAGTACAATTTAGGACCATGCAGATATCAGGGATAATATCTACTTAACAGGGTTGGGAGGTTTAGATGAGGATGTAGGTAAAATCACTTCATAAACTAAGGAAATACATCATCATCCCTAAGATAAAACATCTTTCTATAGAAATTTTTTTAAAAAGAAGTGAAATTTTAATTCAATATGGATCACTAATATGAGAATAGTTATCTGGAAGTCATGAGCTGTATGATAGTTTTCTTTCTTTATGAATCCAGTTCAAACTGATAATTAAAACATACATACAATCATGCGCTGCATAATGACGTTTTGGTCAATGATGGACTGCATATATGGTGGTGGTCCCATAAAATTAGTACCATATAGCCTAGGTGCGTAGTGGGCTATACCATCTAGGTTTGTGTAAGTACACTTTATGATGTTTGCACAACAGCGAAATCACCTAACAATGCATTTCTCAGAACGTATCCCCATCATTAAGTGACACTTGACTGTAATTTGGATGTTAGAGCTACAATTTAAAAAAATGGCTCAATGTGACCCAACCATGTTATGTTAGGACATGGGGATTTAGGATCCCGCAGTAATAACATCAGGCCCATTTAGTAGGAACAGAAAGTAGCTTTGGTCATGCAATATTTAGCTGAGATTATGGATAGGTATGAGAAAAAGGAAATGATTATGTTGCGAAGAAATGGGAAATAACATGTATTGGGTATATACTAGACATTTGACATATATTGTCTGTCTTAATGCTCATTACTCCCCAGGGCAGTGGTAGTACCTCCACTCTTTAGATGGGGGCTGAAAAATCTCAGTGATTAAAGAACGTGCTTAAAGTCATAGCATTCAAGTGGTAGAGCTGGTATGAAGACTCTCACCACCTTCAAGGTCCATGTTCTTTTCATCCCACCATGCTGCCATGTGGGCTCCAAAGGAAACTAATACTTAGCACTCACGCCTTGTGTGGTTCTGGTCTCCTTGTCCCAGTTTCAAACCGAATCATAATTGTTTTTCTCCCAGAGAACTTTTACAGAAAGCTTCTGACCAGACTTTATGAAATGCTGTAGGTGACAAGTATGTGAAAAAGGATGAAATAACATGCTTAAGTTCCAGTGTAAACAGGTTAAATTCCTGGATTGTCTAAAGTTCCATTCTTTACATGGGACCCACCATCTTATGTGAAGTAATTACAGAAACGCTGGCAAACTCTTTCCATTAGTGGTTCTTGCATACAGTATGCACTTCTTATGTTGTGGAACTCTTTTTTTTGTTGTTGTTCAGAATTCACCTTAGGGGTTTTCTCAAACTCTGCATTCTTCTTCTATAGTGGTTTTAAGCTTTCTTTTTCTTTCCAGGTTGGGTGGATGATGCAGTTTCACTTCTAGGTGTTAGGATTCTCTTTCACACTGGTTTGTCATGACCTTAAAGTATTTTAAGTTTCTCCTTTGGTAATTTTTTTTTAATGTAGTACACCGGTGAGTTAGAGATTTGTTTTACCAAATGAGCTTAAAACACCAGCAGCTGGAGAGTACACAGTCCATAAGCATTGGCTGAGTTGACCAAGTATAAAAACCTGCCAGTGGTCTCTGTCTTTATTTTCTTAATTTTGGTAGGTTTTGGAGTGCAGACCTGAAGGCTAGTTATGCTTCTGAATCAGCCTTTAGGTTGCAAGCGTTGCTAATTGTGGCTTATGGTACCAAAGATGTAAAAATGTTTGTTATGATGATCATCGTTGTCTTAATTTATAATTGCCATCATGGCTCTCCCCTGTAGATAACCGGTGAGGTCTAATACTCATTTTGAGCTGCAACCACCCACAAAAACCACACACATGGCATTTTACTCAAAACTTTACTTTAACCACTACTTTGTGATGCAAAACTGGTGGAATTTTGGGTACTTTCTGTAAAATCGAAATCTTGTATGGGGGTTTTCCAACATTCTAGTTGATTGTTCACAAATGATCAGTATAATGAGGAAGGACAAAGCAGAGTTTGCTAATAAACGTTGACTTCCGTGGTGGGATAGGATGCAGTCTATACCTGAATATTTTCACTTGGAGAAAGCCACCTTGATTGAGAGGACAGATTCTCCTTTTGAAAAATGCAGTTAAATAAGAGGTATTTATATGAGATTTGTAGTCATAAAAGATAGAGAGTTTAAGGAGCTTATCTTTGCCACAAAGTTTTCGGTCTTGAAAAAGTATTCATGTTCAATATTTTCTAATTTGTAGATCATCTTATGAACAAGATTTGAAAAGAAAAGCAAATCAATTTGTATTGTAGGACAAAATACAATTCCACATAAGAACTTTCTGTAAAGGGGAACTGTTATGGGAAACTGATTACAGATAAGATGCTACAGTCCTTTTCTAGAAGGGCCGTAGCATGTGGCAAGAGCTCTCTCAGTATTTGGCTAAGTTGGGAGACCTCTGTTTATTCTGGAGCTGAGTCTCTGGGCAAGTTACTTTACCTCTCGAAGGCTCAATGTCTTATCTTTAAAGTTTCACCCCTGCTGTAGGGCTTGGTAGATACAGCATATAGCAGCCCTTGGTGATTTTTATTGTCATATCATTTAAGCCTGCTCTCAAGTATGTATTTTGATTTTTAAAAGCTGCAAAAACCAACTCTCCAAGTATGTTGTCATGCTCCTTTTGTATTTAATATTTTTGTTTTTGTTTGTTTTATATAATATTTTTGAAGGAGTCAATTTCCGTCTGTGCAGCCCAGAAGTCAGACTAACAGTCTCATGATTAGCCTTAAAATGACTATCATCAGAAACTTGCAGGCTGTTTCTCACTAAGGCATTATCCAAACTATCCACGGTAGGAGGATACAGAAATCTCGAGTTGAGTTCTTAATGAGTTAATTACTGTGACGATCTTGATAATTTCCCACTAGCACATCATAAGTCAAGCTTTGTTTAGTTTGCTACTGCAAAGACCGAGTTGCTGGTTTCCACAAATAAAGTATGCTTGCTTTCTAATTGATGTTAGGAAATATTTAAACAGGGTGAAAGAGCAGTTTCTACAGGAGCAAAATCAAGAAACCCAATTTCAGAAAGTAAAACCAAATAAAAAAATTGGCTGAATGAAGAACAATGGGTAAGGAACATGAACTTGGAAGCGAACCAAGTTAAGCTGAACCAAATTTTTAAAGAATGAAATGAAAGAAGTTGTATTTTGTATGTCTATGGAGGGAGTAGAGACAGATACGGTTCTAAGGAAAATTGTACAGGATGGACTATCATTTAAAGCTTTAGGACCCAGCAAACGAAGAGTGGAAGCTTTATGTGTAGGTGGAAAAAGTGTTTATCACTACATGATTTTAGGGACAGAAATAGAAAATGGCAAGATAGCATAAATATTAGAAAAGTGGAGTGGAGTTTCCCAGACCTTTTGATTTAACAAATGTTTGTTTTACTTAAAGAAATTGGCAAAATCTTGAAATTTGAATTGCTGGTATAGCAAACTTTTAAAATTGAATAATAAAAGCCAAAAAGGCTTTCTTGCATGTTAGCACTATACTACCACACTTGTTACTAAGCCTGATAACACTAATGCTTCATCTAAGTAGGTAAGTTTGAAGGTGACTTGGGCCATGCTCCTTGAAATAGAGGTGTTGAAAAAGCGATGTCTGGAGAAAGGTGAAAGCACAATTACACATCAAAGGCCATAGAAGTTTTCACTTCAAATTTTATGTTTCAATTATACAAGCTTTGTGTTCACACCCAAACTCCAAGGGTGGGATCTGCCCCATGTAGGGTGGAGTGGCATTCCAATTCCATTTATTTTCTGCTGAAGCTGCCAAATTGAATGAAGATTTATATCTTAAGTGACAGGATTCAAATGAAACATGACAAACCTGTAAAAGCTGCAACCTGGACATGTCAACGCAGAACTTTCCAGTGCACTGGATGGGACTCAGGAGACGAAGCACACACATTGCCGTGTCATGTTGGGCAGCATGGGAGATGAAAGAGGAACCCGTGAAAGAGCAAGTCCTTGCTGGCTGAAGCGTGTGTGGTGGGGAAACTGCCATGGTGTTCATAGATACAAGTGTGTATCTATCTGGAACTCGCCTCATTATGGAAAAAATTTTGTGGAGATACGCTGCACTGACTGGAACATTATTCCCTTGTTTTTTTAAGTTATCAAATTTATAAAGCAGAAAGCATTGGTTGTAAAACTAGTCATTGAACTGGAATTTAATCCTGACCTAGTTCCCGATGTTGGGTGGTAATTATTCTTATTTACCAAAGCCCAGAGAAAATCGGTGTTAAAAAACAACCTGGGTGAGCATTGCTTTGAAGGGGAACAAGTTTCACTACCTTTAGGTAGAAGAGTTAGCTTTGTAAAACATCTAGGTTGTCTTGCTGAAGGACTCTGACCACGGGGCATGAACGAAAACAACTCGAGTGTTTAGGGGTTCTTCCACACGGCAGACAACAAGTTAAAGCTCCCCAGGGAAAGCACAGGAGGCGGGCGCATTTGCAGAGCAAGCACTCCCGACTACCATGGTGCGCCCCCGTGCCCAGCACAGCGTGCGGCCAGTCACTCATCCAGGAGAATGAATCAACACTGTATAAACACTCCCAGTATTTGCTCAGTCTCCTCAGAGTTATCATTAATCAGGTGAGCATTTTCTGATTTAATCTGGTAAACAAACCAGTTGTACTTTAAATTGGTCCTAAAGAATATATATAATTGGAATAGTTGTTAAGACACGAAGAAATGCCAAAACAGAAGCCACCAGTTGGTCACTGTATATTATTCTGCATCATTTATTAAATATTTATTTTTATATATGCATTTACAAACTTTAAGTACTCATTTCAGAACTCTGCTTTCAATACATTTTTAAACTTTTTTGTAGAGAGATTCTCTTGTAAAATGAGATCCATGTACAAAACTAGGCAACAGATATAAAAGTTTCCTTTCATACTTTTCATCCATCAAGAAAAGAAATCATGTGACAAAGAAATAAAACCAAAACGTGGCTCTTTCACAAGAATAACATGTCAGTGTTCAACTATGAGTTCTAACGGGATAGATCATATTTCATCTTTATATGGATGTATATAGTTTAATACTTCTTAGCTACTGTAGCATGTTGGTTCAGATGAAGAAAAAATCAACTCTACTGTTCAGACTAGATAATCTAGAGACCATCAATTATTCATTTCTTCATAATGTGACACCAACATTCACCTAGGAGATGACATTGTTGGCCAGCAGTATGCGTTTATCCCAAACGTTGCATAAAAAGTTCCCTTTAAAAAATTCATTAACTTCACAAGCTAAAGTCTGAGCCTCTAATTTAGCTCTCTTATTTAAAGAAATAGTTTAAATGATCAATTCAGAAGCTTAAAAGTATCTTTGAAACTAAAGTTGCTTTTCTTAAAATGAATGCTGACTTGACAGTTCATAGACTTGGAGCACTGTTGCTTTAAGACAGAGGCACTAATGCCACTAGCAACGAGAAACAGTATCACCACAGGGTAATTATAGGGTACAAAATGCCCAGGGGCCTGAAACTCACTATTAATATGATTTTGGCAGCAGCATCATTTGATATTTAACCATTTATTACATAGTATTAACACACCAGCTTCAAAGATGTGCACTCCCTTAGGATACTCAGGAGTTACAAATTTATTGTGATTGCATAATTCGTATTGCACAGTTTTGTAAAAAACATAAATACTGGCTATTCTAGTTTTAAATACAAAATACATGTCATATACTTTTAAACTATAATCTGGTTCAAGTGCAAATCAGGTGCTTTCTTTAGTCCTTCCAAAAAAGGCATTTTTAATATTTTTTGGCACAACTGAAATTTCATCATGCCAACAATTCTAATTACAATACATATATCCAAACCTTGAGAGTAGCAATCATATACATACAGTATAAAACTGAGTATTTACAAATGTACTAAGCATAAATGTAACCTTTGTGGGTGAATCAGAACTAATTAGCCATACCCACACTAATAATAATTAAAAAAGGTAAATACGTTCTCTTTATTTCATTTGCTTATGCTGGTTGCTGTGGGTTGACATTCATGTGAGGAGGATGTCCTAGAAGACCAATTCTTTGTTTCTGCTTCCTTTGTTCTGTCATCTGGAAAGTTAAAAAGTTTCATCATTAGACCCAGACATTTCCTGTACGTCAAATCATATACTGAACCATAGATTTACCTCTGTGGTTATGGTTTATACTGAAACCCACTTTCTACAAATAGTATACCATCACTGTATCAAACACACAGAACTTCAAAAAGGACATCTTCTTAGGCAGACTGGGGAATTCTGTGACCTAGTCATGCAATGTGACATTCAGAAGTATTGCTTCCTACTTATTTCATAAAGAAAGAAAAAACAGTAAAGGCACAGGATTCTGGATTGTCTCCCACATCCATTTCCAAATGATTTAAAGACTCATTGGAAAATAGTGGCTTTGTATGATAGTAACAACACATCAAACTTGAGAAAAGCAGTGTGTTTAGAATCCCAGGTTTGAGAGGGATTAAGTCCATGGTCTTCAGGGGGTCCTGTCCCTCTCTCCAATGACTCTTGAATAGTTTAGGTTTGAGAGGAAAGAGTTATGGAGCACATCTAGAAAGATGGGAAATGTCCTCACATCTCCCTGAGATCCAGAGTGACTAAATACCATCAGTACGGCTCCGGCGCTTGGTGGTGACTGCTCCTTGCCACCCGCAGACACTGATTGCTTAAGGTCAGGAAAGACCATTCCTAAGACTGGCCAAAGAAAAAGTGCTTTCAAACCCAAAACAAAAGGTTAGTACTATTCGTTTGGCTGCTGAACTGAATCAGTTCTCATATTGACGGGTATCTCGCTCTGTTCTGGGCATCTTCCTCCTCTGCATTACCAATTAACCCAGTCAGTCCTAGCTCTGGATTTGCTGCTGGGCATTTAACTCAACTAACATAAACGGGCTATATGAAATACATTTTAGATAAAATTGTCGTCTGCAAGTGCCTTAAGGTCTGGCTTCTAGATTTTTGGTTTCCTAAAATCAGAGAGAAATCAGCTTATAGTAGTAAAAAGAATGTTGGCTTTGGAATCAGACAGACCTATTTCCTTATGGTTTCATGTTATTTAACTTCTCAAAGTGTGTTTCTCCATTCATATAATTAGGATGATAATTCCTATCTCACGGGTGGAGAATTGCGAGGATGTATGTAAATTCTTAGTACAGTGTCTGTCACATAGTAGATGCTTAAATCTCAGCTTTCACTTGGACTAATTTTTGGTATAAAATATCCTGAGAAAACATAAAGTAGGAATAACTTACCTAGGTTCAGTTTTAAAGTGGTTATTTTTTCTTATTCAAAACATAGCCGTTTTCCTTTCAAATCAAGACACTGTTTTTAGGCCTTTGTGAAATGCCTTCTGTTATAATTTAGAAGAGAAGTTCACATGGAGTGAACATTTCCAAAAGCTAGCTTTTAATAAAGCTTTTTATAAAGAATTGAATTAGGATATTCCAGCTAGCCTGTAAAGTTTCGTAGATGAGTGACAAATCTTTAAAGGGAGTGTTACACACTACACTATATTTCACAGATTCAGCTGAGGAAGGAGAACCTAATGTGACACTTGGCATAAATTCACAATTAGATTACAATGTAAGGAGCAGTTCTTTCCTTTTACTGCCCGATATTTCAGATACTTTGCTCAGAATTTTTCCCTCAACTATTTCCTTGGCAGATAACATTGAGAGGGAATCCAGTAAAACGTAACTAAATTTAATAATCTCAAGCAATCTAATGGATTTAGGAATCCTGGTGGGCTCAACTCCTATTGAAAGATACTTTATTCAATGCTTCCATTTAAAGCTGCTGAGATCTTTCAACTGTCAAAGTTGTCCTTTAAAGCTTTTTCTGTAATTTTTCTATAAATAATTATATTTGAGATAACCTTTTATGTAGGCATATCTTCATGCCTATTTGTTAAATCAGCTTTTCTTGACTTTACAATCTGTCAGTTATTCAGTTATTCTCTCAACTTAAAAGCCTCTAAAACTGTATTCCCTGCAGCCAATGAGTCTTCAACTGAGGGCACGCCTGCCTTCCCACTTCCACAGCCGTCACCTGCTACCTCACTGGTGGCCCTATTCTAACTTTCTAGGTTTGTCTTCCTAAGATAATGATCACATCACCCTCCCTCCCTCATAAACCATAAAGCTCCCTACTGATGTTGGTCAGTGGCCAAATTCTTTGCTCAGGCAGTCATATTCCTGGCAATTTCAAGTACCTAGTACATACCTCTCTAATTTTGTTTTCTATTTCTCTAGAACAATGGTTCTTAAGCTTTGGCATGCACAGAATCACCCAGAAGGTTTGTTAAATCACATTGAAGGGCCTACCCACAAACAGAGTTTCCGAGTCAGTAGGCCTAGGGTGGGGCCCATGAATGTACATTTCTAACAAGTTCCCACGTGATGTTGCTGTTGCTGGTCTGGGACCACACTGCTGCTCTAGAAGAGCTTTTCATTGAATATCTCTGAAACAGGCCAAGATCACTGTGGGTATATACGATATACTTGAATACTTTTTTTTAAGAAACATATTTTGGGTCCATAGATCATTTTTCTCAAGTGACATAAGATCTCCGCAGTTGAGCACGCAAATTTGATGTCATTTAAGTGACTAATAAATGAACAGGAAAACTGCTGAAATACTTGGCCCTTTTGGCAGTGGTCATCATCCAGTTACAATTCTAAGGGAAAAAACCAAAACCCCCAAGGACTAAATCTGGCCTGTAAGAAACCAAGGTCAACAGTGCAGGCCAGCTAGGTTTCCTCTGGCTCATTAGTGCATATTCTCTCACGTGATTTCTGGCTTTATGAGCTCAGTTCTACCTACCTACCTATCTACATACATTCTCACACACACAAACACTATATATATATCTATATCCATAGATCTTATTTAAGGCATCAATATTATCTGTTATTGTTACTTATATCAAAACAAATAGAAATAATGACCAGACTCTATACTTAGCATATTCTCACATAGTATTCTCTCTGGAAATGTGAAACAAAATTGACTGGATGAAAATATCCATCAGATTCAGATCTAAGGTAAGTAACTATATTCAAAATTCTAATACTGAAAAATCTATTTTGAACAGTGTGAAATGTCCCATTTGTAGCAGACACATTTAAAATCCTCAGAATTCCCATTTAGCTGAGACTGAACATTTGAAGCAATGCCCTTCTTCATACCTATATAAATACAAAGCCTAGCTTGAATTTCAGCATTCCTTCTTTTGACTCAGTCTATATAAGAAGCAAGGAATACTGTGGCTTTACAAGTCAGAGGCAGCCAAACGTCTGAAAAATCTTTCCTGAAAACACTAAGTGTAGAGTGTAGATGAGCATATTTTAATCTACCAGTATTGACCTCTAAACCATGGCAGGCTGGGACAGGACAGAAGGTCCATTAACAGCTCACGAAGGCTACAATCGGGTTTATAACAGATCTTAACAGTCTGAAAAACTGCTTTCATGTCCCAATATCGTCTTGGTTACTCAGATTCTAAACAGCCAGGAAACTCTAGTGATCAGAATTAATTTTTGAAGTCCTATAAAATCAGTCATGCTCACAACAATGAGCCTAAAACACTGAGAAATAAAACCAAAGCATCTCTGGAATACAATTATATTGACTTAATATAAATGTACACATATTGTTCACATTCTTAGAGTTGATCCCTAATATTCTGTTCCTCTCTGTTTCACCCGGCAAACTCTTAAGCTTTTAAAGCAAGCTCTTCATTACCACCTCTGAGAGGGTTTCTGTGGCAATCACTCTAATCCTCTTCCTAAGATCAGGTTGAATGAATGGCCCCCTTTTTCTTCACTTCCAGAGCAATCTGTTCATACTTCTGTTACATACTTACCATGTTGAATTATAATTTATTTGCTTACTTATTTGTCTCCCACTCTATACTTTTAGTTCTTTGACGAAAGAGAATATTTATTCATCTTTGTAACCCTAGTAGCTAGGGCTGCCCCTGGTCAATAGCTATTTCATAAATGGTGGTTCAAAGAACGAGCTGAATTAACTGGAATACAGTGCCATTCCTTGAGCATGCCGTGCGT